GAAATTTTATTAAATAAGACTAATGATTCAAAACCACTTGAGACTCTATAAGAAATGAATATAGAACTTCCATGGTGGGAGAATTTGCAATTACAGTCTAGGTTCGCCAAAGATAAAATAACAAAGTTTTATAATGGGAAAACAGATCTTGATAAAATTTGGCTGTCAACCTCTGATAAACTGATTCAAAAGTTATATAAATTTTTGTTATATGATGTCATGCAGGAGGAAATAATCAAGCCATCAATGATAACATGGATGCAGGATATAGAACATAGTCTGGATATGTCAAACTTTAAGATCTACATCTTTTAAAAATGTTCTATAGGTAGCACTGGTCGCCGGATAAAATGGCTAAATGCTATAAATAGGTGTCAGGAAACTGTTGGAGGTGTAAAAATAACGTGGGTACCTTTTTCCATATGTGGTGGCGATGTGAAAAGATCTATACATTTTGGAAGGGTATTAAGCACTTAATAACAGAGATTATGGGCATCGAATTGCAGCTAGTACCAGAAATCTATCGACTTAATATAATACCAGATGGATGATGAACTATGTATTTTGTCATATATCCTTACTGCAGCCAGGATATTGGTTGCCAAGTGTTGGAAATCTGAAAACCTACCTGTTAGAGAGGAGTTGATTATAAAAATCTGTGATGTGGCAGAAATGGACAAGTTGGACAATGCGTAACTCCATAAATATATTTCATATGCAAAATATTGTTTCTTTTCTCTTTGGTTTTTATTTTTAAGTTTACTTTCTTTTTGTAGTTTTGTGATGAAAATTATAAATATTGTTATCTTTTTTGTAATGGAAAATCATAAATAAATTTGTTTTTTAAAAAAGAAAACAATTTTTAAAGCCACAGAAAAAATTATAACGACATTTATGTATTTTCAAATTTTATTTACTCCATTTATTTACTTTATTTGTATCCCATGTTCCTCTTTTGAGTCTTTGGGGCTTACCAAACCGGTGTGAGAGCCAGTCTGGCATAGTGGTTAAGTGTGTGGATTCTAATCTGGGAGAACCGGGTTTGATTCTCCACTCCTCCACTCGCATCTGCTGGATGACCTTGGGCCAGCCAGAGTTCTGTCAGAGCTGTTCTTGAAAGGGCAGTTTCTGTCAGAGCGCTCTCAACCCCACCTACTTCACAGGGTGTCTGTTGTGGGGAAGGGAAGGGAAAGGAGTTTGTATGCCGCTCTGAGACTTCAAGTGAAGGGTGGGGTATAAATCCAATCTCTTCTTCTTCCTCTCCTCTGTTTTACTCTCACAATACCCCGGTGAGATAGGTTAGGCTGAGAGGATATGACTGGCCCAAGGTCACTCAGGTCACTCAGCCAGCTTCCATGGCAGAATGGGGATTCAAACCTGGGTTTCCCAGGTCCTAGCATGACACTTTAACCAGTACGCCATGCTAGCTCCCTGCGTGCAGTATTCTCACACTCTTGAACACATTAATCTGCCAGTTTGGTGTAGTGGTTAGGAGCACAGACTCTAATCTGGGAGAACCAGGTTTGATTATCCACGCCTTCACATGCAGCTGCTGGTGTGACCTTGGGTCAGTCACAAGTTCTCTCAGAGCTGTTCTCTCAACAGCAGTCCTCAAAAGAGCTCTCTCAGCCCCTCCTACCTCATAGGGTGTCTTTTGTGGGGAGCGGAAGGGAAAGGAGATTATAAGCCATTCTGAGACTCCAAGTAAAGGGCAGGGTATAAATCCAATCTCTTCTTCTTCTTATACTGAATCAGACCATGGGTCCATCATAATCAGCACTGTCTACTCAGACTGGCAGCAGCTTTCCAGGGTCTCAGGCAGAGGTCCTTTTAACTGGAGATGCCAGGGACTGAACCTGTGATCTTCTGCATGCCAAGCAAATCCTCTACCACTGAGCCATGGCCCCTCTTTCTGATCTAATGATTGTTCTCATTAACTCCTCTGCTTCAGTGTGGCCCCTGGCATGCAGCTGTCACTAAAATAAATGTTTAAGTAGTGACACAGCAGCAGCAGGAGGCATTCTGCTCTCAAGCGCTGAACTGCCTGAACTTTACAATCGCCATGAAAAATAGCTTTAATCTTGGACATTGGATATGACCTAGAGGTGTTCACACACTGTTCATCAATATTTCACGTGTACAGGCAGGAAGCTTTATTCTTGGAAACAGCCTATGTAGATTCTGCAGAAAACTAAGGTTAGAGAGAGTTTCAAAATTGCCTCTGGTGGGGTGGCATATGATGAAGCAAATTAAGAGAAATCTGAAATTACACACATGATGTCAATAGCAGTCTACCTTTCAGGATAATAACATGAGAGATGTGCATTTTCCATAGTACAAGCAACGCAAGGGCAGAGGTGAGCAAAAGAACCGAATACAGCATTATTTAAAGCATTAAGGGGGGGGGGAGAAAGTAATCTACCTTGATCATTCAGAGCCTGTGTAGGATCTTTCAAAAGAGCTGCATACTTATGCAAGAGGTTCACCATCACCTCCAGAAGTCCCACCTCCCTGAAGACATCCTTAAAGATGTAGTCATGACGCGTGAACTTAAGTAGTGTCTTCATTGCAAAGATGCTACATGGGTAAGAGGCGCTGGATTTTAAGAGGATGCTGACGCTGATGAGTTCTTTGCAAGGTATGTAGTTCAGGCTGAAGACGACAAATTCAAGCATCTCAAAGTATTTGGCCTGCACTTCTGGAAGCTTAGCAATCTTCTCCGCAAACTGGGACAACGTGTGCTGGGACTCCAAGATGAAGTAGTTGGCATTGTCCGCAATGTATATATTTAAGATGGCATCGAGGATAATTTGTGCAAGGTAGCTAGTTTTTGCCTTCAGGAAAGCATTTTGCAGGACAGAGAATGCTTGGATATTCCTCACGTTGTGGCCTACAACGATGGAGGGGAAAGGACAGTACTTTATGTTCAAATTATTGTTTGGGCATAATCAAGACAGAGTACAAATTAAAGATACACATTTATTCTTTAGTTAGTGCAAACAAGTGCGCAGGAAGCTGAGCCCACAGAGTGTGGGAGGGGTAGTAGCACAAGTTCTTCCTCCTCACAGAACAAGCAAGGCCTCAGGAGAGCTGCATTAGCAGACATGGTATCAGTTCCACTTGGCAGGGGAGGCAAGTAGGATTGTTTTCAGGGTGGCGCCCTGGCCTTGGAAGGAGGAAAATTTGTTTGAGAAATGATGACTTCAGGTGCTCCTGTTTTACAGTCCACCATCAGGTTTTGTCAGTTACCTGTGCAGAGGGTGGGGGTGTTACAGTGGAAAGGAATAGTTGGCTTTATAAATGCCTATACCATTGTCTAGGAGGAGGTAAGATTAGGTGAGATTAGCAATGACCATAGGCATAGACAGCTTTAAAGGAGGGTTAGATAGATTCATGGAAGATAGGTCTAGCAGTGGCTATCACTCTTGGTGACTACAGGGAACCTCTGTGTTCAGAGGCAGTCAACCTCGGAATCCCAGTGCCAGGAGGTAACATAAAGGGAAGGCCTCAGCCTCTAAGCCCTGTTGTTGTACCTCCAGAGAAGCTGGTTAACCACTGTTTGAAACAGGATGCTGGACCAGATGGACAACTGGTCTAATCCAGCGGAGCTCTTCTTATGTTCTTAGGGCACACAAAAGAACCACAAAGTGGGTGGATAAAAGCTGTTATGTATTGCTGTTATTAAACATGGCATCCTATGGACGCTGGAGACCGGAGTTCCAACTTATACTATCAACATTTTTAAACATGGCATCCTATGGACGCTGGAGGCCGGAGTTCCAACTTATACTATCACATTTTATTTTTAAAATGTCTACAGCTGTTAAGCACTACACACAGGCCTACAACCAGGATTTTGTTATTTGTGGGACATATTTTTTTCTTGTGGGGCAACCATTCGGAGGGAGTGAAGGGCTTTGTAAACATAATACATTATAATAAATTATACCCATACCAGTACCAATGCTGCATGTGATCAATACTCCAGAAGTAGCTAGGTTATACATAAATAACATGCAAGTATGCTGAAGCATGCAAGCCTGTATGTTGGTGTGGCATCCAGAAGAAATCTAAAATTCTGTTCCCCCCCCCTCATACCCTTGGCATCCCTGTCCCCCTCCCTGCCCTTCCCAAGGTTGATTCACTAGTCTATTGCTTAACAAAACCCTGTGAATCCTCCCTACCCTCCAAGCCATCTGTTTTCTTCCGCATACCAATCCCCACCCATGCCACTTGTAGGGCATTGGCTGTAATGTAAGGAGACGGGGCCCCAAGATGCCCCACTGTAGCTACGGGCCCGACTACGTAACAGAACAGTCATTATGATCTGAGCCTTGAAATATTAGCCACAGTTTCCCTTCAGAACCCAAAGTGACTGTGCGACAAAGGGAAGGTCAAGTTGTCTCCATCATCCAAAGGACCCGGCAAAGAAAGACTCCTTCAGGCCAACCTAAGCCTACCCATTTAATGGGGGAAACGTCAGCAGTGAAATGACTGAAAACACACTGACAGACTTTCTTCTCTATATGGACTGAAAAGAGCACACCTCACCTTTGCCCGCAGGCTGTGGGACTGCAAATCCGGGCAACAGAAAAGGCGCCCCTGTAGTAACACCAGCTGGTTTTAATTCATTGACCCCATATGTTGTTAGTGAGGTTATCAGATTAACCAAATCTTTCAAAGCATCCTTGGATTCGGCTTCTTTTGCTTGTTCTAACCTGCAGAAAAACAAAACTGACCTCAACACAAAAGCCATTCATTCTTTCAAACCTATCAGAAACATTAAGAAAAAAATAATCAGATGATTTCAATGGGCACTTCCACTTAATTACACTACAAAAACAATGGCCTGGGCCCATTGTAACAGGCATCTTCCGAAAAATGTCAAGAATGAGGCCATGTGTGCCTTGAACTCTCTGGAACAGGTCAGCCCCATGAGCCATTAGTCAGCAGTCCTGACTTGGCCTGATAACAGCTGTGCTGCTGGCAGATGCCTGACAAATGAGACTATGGATGGGGGTTGGTGGGAGGCAGTAGGGAGCCGCTTTGATCTGATAAGCACTTTTCCCCCCCTTTTGCCGTCAAGTCACAGCAAACTTATGGCAACCCTGGAGGGTTTTCAATGCAATAAGCATTCAGAGGTGGTTTGCCATTGACTGCCTCTGCACAGCACCCCTGGTATTCCTTGGTGGTCCTCCCATCCAAACACTGACCAGGGCCGACCCAGCTTAACTTCCAAGATCAGGTTAGCCTCGGCTATCCAAGTTGTGGCACTGCATATATATAAATAAGCGCTGCATATAATAATTATTTTTTCTCCAAGTATTTATTCCCCTTCCTAGCCTCCCTGGGGAAAAAAAAAGTTTTCTAAACTCCAAGAAACTCTTCTGTAGCCCCTCTGGCAAGACGAGAGAGTAGGAGTCACCTGACCTCTTCTGAGAGGCTGTTCTACAGTCATGGGGCAGTCACTGAAAAAGCCTAAACCTGGACCATGGCAGAGCATGGCTTAGATCAGGGGTGCCAAACATGCAGCCCAGGGGCCAAATCAGGCCCCTGGAGGACTTCTATCAGGCCCACAGTGGAACTGGCTATCTTCTGCTTCTTCTTCCAGTTCTGCTGCTGCTGCGTCATCGTAGGTTTGCCGCTTACAGATACGCACCTGAACAGCATACTCAAGATTGCAACAGCACAGACATTTTGATGCAATAATTCAGAGCAAGAGGTGTCAGTTATCAGACACTGTTAAATAAACAAAATACTGCAAGAGTGCTAATGTTTTAAGCATGTTTTTATTTTAAGTAAAAAAACACCTTTGTGTTTGTGTCCTTTATAAAGCTTATAACTCTGCTACCTGGCATTACATTTTATGACACACAAGGCCCTGCCCAACAAGGTCTCATTTATGTCAGATCCAGCCCTCATTACAAATGAGTTCAACACCCCTGGCTTAGATGAAGGGGAAACTGACAGCAGACCTCACTGGGTCAAACAAAGCTGCTGCGCAGGAACAAGCAGGGAGAGACAGTCCTTCAAGTTTGCAGGCTCCAGGTCCTGAGGAGCTTTGAAAGTGAGCACTAACATCCTGAATGGGACCCAGTAACTCATCAACGGCCAGTGGACCTCAGAATAAGAATAACGTGGTGCTACCAGCTAGCCCAACAACAAACAAGCTGCTGCCTTCTGTACCAGCTGCAGTTTCTAGCTTGTCTTTAAAGGTGGCCCCACTTAAAACGAGTTACATCAGTCTAGTTTCAAGGTAGGGTTGCCAAATCGGACACCTCGCCGGCGGGGGACTCTGGGGTGGCTCCCGGAGCGTGTGGGCGCACCGCATGCACGTCACAGGGATGTGACATCATGATGCCAGGCACGCTGGGGGCGGGGCCACAGCCATTTGAGGGGAAAAGAGAGTCAGACGGCCACATCCCTGTGACGTGCACGCGGGGGTGGGGTTTCCCCCGGGGCCCGATTCCGCGGGTTGCGGAAATCGGGCCTCCAAAGCGGGGGGGAATCCGCCCCCCGGGGGAACTTGGCAGCCCTATTTCAAGGTTAGTATAAAAAGGAAAAAGCAAAACGGCTGGCAGTGACCGGGGGGTAGTAGGGTATAATGGGAAGAAAATGGTGCCAGGTGTGGGTGGGGAACTTGGAAAATCTGCACTTTCCTGTCCACACGATAACCAAACAACCTTCCCAGATAGATCAAACCAAAGACAACTTGGGAAAGAGCACTGCAATGCAAGAGGAAACCTAGAAAGAGAACAACTGAATGATGTTCTACAGAAACTAAAACAAAACACATTGCCTTGGGGGTGGAGCAATACCTCCAGGTGGAAAACTCCAGTAGCAATGGAGAAAGAACAATAATGAATAAGAGCGTCATGGACAAGCAGGGCTTCCATTACTCTATACTGAACAAGTAATTAATTAGCACAGAAAGACTGAGGCCTAGGGTTGCCAACCTCCTGGTGGTGGATGGAGATTTCCTGCTGTTACAACTGATCTCCGGGCAACAGAGATCAGTTCACCTGGAAAAAATGGCTACTTTGGAATGTGGATTCCGTGGCATTATACCCCATTGAAGTCCCTCCTCTCCCCAAACCTCACCCTCCTCAAGCTCCACCCCCAAAATCTCCAGGTATTTCCCAGCCTTGAGCTGGCCTATGTAATTTTCCTTTGTGGAATATTATCTTTCCTTCGCAGCATATAAGGACTGAGTAAATGCAATTTTTCCTCTGCATCTTCAGTGAGTTACACATGTTGATGTGTGGAACAGACAGACCTTGCTGAGAAAAGGAAAACAAAGTGATCAGACAAGAATCTTACGTTGACAAGCTTTGTTTGCATACCTGAGTAAGAGATCAAAGAGGAAGTTATATCCTTGCCATATCCTAAAATCATCCAACAGCGTTTGAGAGACATCGCTGGAATCTTTGAGGAAGCAAGAAAGGCCAGCAAACATCTCAACAATTTCTAAAGGTGAAAGGTCATCCGACTGCTGCATGTTCTGAATACATGTTGACAAGCATTCTTTTTCTGCAAAGATAACATTACAGAACGAGCATTTTAATATCCACAATTGTTTGCACTTAAAAATGACTATGGATTAGTCACTACTGTCACACCTCTTAGCAAGCAGTTTTCAAAAATGAACAACAGAAACACCCTCCCCCACGCACACACCTTCCCCAATTTTTACAATTGCAAGAAATGTGCAAAAAGAGAACTTTTGTCTTGTTCTGAGTTCCACACAGAGCCATAATTTCAGCCAGCAAGCCAGCTAAACAAGCCCAATTTCCTCCTCCATCTGCTAAATGGAATTACAAAACGGTCATTCATTCAACTCTTGCCACTTCTCAGAATGTGCAAAGTAGCTTTTAAATAAAAATCTAAAATCAATTTATCTATTAAAAAACAAATATTCTCTTTGTGACTATGCAAAATAATTATGACTCTGTTTAGACGCCATAAACTGTGCAAACTCATAGGAGTTTGACACATTATATATAAAATGTGCAAACTGGGTTTCTGTAAAAGACCAAGAACTCAATTTTGTATTTTTAAAATTTTATTCTTTTAAAACTTGTTATATAAACTGCTTTGGTGATCATTTGTGGAGTGTGGGGAAGATGGATGTATGTTTCTAAAATAATTACAATAAGTCTGCAGTTTAAATTTCTGAAAGGCAGTAAAAATAATAGACCTAAAGAAATGGGAAATCTGTTTAAAGGCAAACCTGTTTACTGAACATTTAATGCAATCAGCTAATTGTTTCCAGTTCTCTTCCTAGAAAGACATTTGTTGTGCCTGCAAGTGATAGGTAACTATTTGAGGAAGGAGTTTCATGTGCAAAACTAGATCCTTAATCAGGGAATAATTAAGGCACCATGTTCCCGTATTTAGGCAGAACTGAATGTGTATTTCCTACAGCTTCTTTCAAATACAAAAAGCAGATTAGCTGAACGGAACTAGGTTTTAAATAATGTTCCATGGTCTATTAACTTGCAAGTTCTTGGGAACTATATGCAGAATACTGGAGACCCATAACGTGGCAGTAGCTTAATTTTCTTCCATCTGCTATAAATGTTCTGAAGAGACAAAGCAGCAGTAAAACAGAAACAACTAGCCAAGCTGCCTCTGGAACTACAGAGATATTTAAGAGTAAATGAGAAACAGGAACTCCTCTCGGGAGCTTTCAGCATCAGCAGAAGTTACAAAACCACAATCATTCACATGAGAAACAACTGTACATTCAGCCTAGCAGAAATTTAGGAAAAGCTCTACTTGGCATTTCACAAACTTGCTGAATTACAAAAAAAAAAAAAAAAGTGTCTTCTCCTGCCATCTGTGCTATGACATTTTTCTGCATGTTACTAGTTTAGAGCAATGAAAAAAGAAAAAAGAACTGTGACAATTTAGCGCTTGGTACTATATTCATAAATCATAATATACAATAACAGAAAATAAGTAATATCAGAGGTCATTTCGGGGGGATCGTGGGGGATCGCAGTCCCCCCGGGTGAGGTACGGGGGGGCGGGGCACATGACGAAGCCCTGCCTCCTGCTTCCGGCCGCCCCGCTTCCGGCCCTCATTCAGCCAGGAGGAGGCAGGAGAAGAGGGAG